GGGTGGACGCGCTGGCGGCGCGGGTCGGCGCCGGCGCGGCGGGGCTGGCGGGGTGCCACGCGGCCCTGGCGAGCGCCGAGGAGCGCGAGGCGGCGCGGGAATCGCGCGAGCGTGAGCGTGGCGCGGGCCGCGCCGCGGTGCTGACCGCGCTGGAGGCGGGGGTGCGCCGGCTGGGCGCCGACGTCAGCACGCTGACCTCGGAGCACCTGTCCCTCGCTCAGGCCGTGGAGGAGATCGAGGGGCGGCTCGTGCAGTCATGCCAGGCGGAGGCGAGGAGTCTCGTCCCCGAGCCGGCCGCCGGAATCGCGCCCAGGCTGCCTGCCCTTCCGATCGCCGAGAGCCTCCAGCAGGGTCCCGGTGCGGTGGGGGGGCGGTGGAGGGGTCTGGAGTGGTGTTTGCGGGCCAGGGAGGGGCTCCTCGCACAGTCCTCTGGGCAGCAGCTTGCAGGAGCCTCTGTCCCACGGGGAGCGACAACTCCCATAAAACCATCCACCCTTCCTCACAGCGAGCCACCCGCTGGGTGCGCTGTCGAGCCGCACGCTGTCCGGCGTGGAGGACCCCAGGCCCCGTCCTGGGCTGGAGGGGGGTTCCTGCGAGGTCGAGTGCCTGCGGGCTGGCCTGGCCATAAACACGCGGGAGACGACGCAGCTGGCGGCCATCGTGAGGCTGCAGGCGGCGACCATCGCGCGGCTGGAGGCGCGCCTGGACGCCCTGGCGGGGCCGGCGCGGCGCGACGCCGTGGCGGCGGAATGCCCGGCTTCTGCGACGGGGCGGGATGCGACGCAGGACGCGCAGGCTGCTGCTCGGGACGCACATGCGGCCATCGGCGACGCATGTGCTACGACCGGGGTCCGATCGCAGGGGCCGGGGCGGCGCGGGCCGAGCGGCGGCCTGCAGCTGGACTTGGCCTCCCTGGGACCTGCGCCAGGGGAGGAGGCTGCCCCGGCCGCTGGCCCGGGACCCTCGCCCTCGCTCGCGACGCTGTGCTCCGCCTTCAAGCAGGCCGCGTCCCGGCCGCAGGCAGCCTTGCAGCTGCACACCCCGCGCGTCAAGTCCGCGGGCGAGGTGGACGTGCAGCTGGCCTCCCACCCGCTGGGGGGAGGTAAGGAGGGCGGCTCGGCCTACATCCAGGCGGTGTACGCGCTGACGCCGCGCCGCGCGGCGGCCGCAGCCGCAGCCGCCAAGCCCGCAGCGCACTAGCCTTGGTAGCCCCAGCGGGACCCCGGTACTGGCTGGATGTAGATCAGCACCGCTGCCGGATGCCGTGCACGCGAGTGTGGGTCCCTGATCATTGTCATCCAAGGCCCTGCATTCCCCGATTGAGCGCTGTCCGATCCGAAAACCCTAGACGACGAGGGAACTGCCCCATCGAGACGCGTGCACGACGCCGGCCCACAGAAACCATGCGCAGCTATTCAACCTCATCGCGACAGGGACATGGCAGGTCGTGATGCTGGAGCAAGGACCAGGGAGCCTCGCACCGGCGGTGACGGTGCCGGAACCCCTGCCCCCCCTGCCCGTGGACGTGTGGGTGCGCATCCTACAGCTCATCTTCACAGAGGACCTCACCCCCCTGAAGAGCCTGGTGCGCCTCCAGCTCGTGAGCCGGACGGTGCTTGAGGCGGTGCGCTCCCTCCCACTAGCCACGGAAGTGATCTCGGAGCCCGCGCTCCAGTCCCTTCGGCCCCTGCTCCAGGCCTGCCCCTGCGCCAGCCTGTCATTCCATAGATCCGTGGATGGAGAGAGCCTACTGCGCCACCCGGGCTTCAGGGCGATGTCGGGGCGCACCCTGACCAGCCTGAGGGCGGTGGTGGCCTGCACCGACACGCTGAGCCGCTTCCCGGCGCTGGAGCGCCTGGTGCTGGAGGCGGGGGCCATCCAACGCTTCTACCCCTCCGTCCTGCACGGAGGACTGCGGAACCTGCGCTCCCTGTCCCTCGTCCGCTTCCCTGAGATGGAGCTGCAAGGCCTGGACCCAGTCCTGCTCCCCTCGCTCCGGGTGGGTGGATCGTGGGGGAACGGGGCTCCAGCCCGAACGACCCAGGCGTGGGGCCATGCAGTCCTGCACAACCGCGAGCGCACCCCGGCCCAGCACCCTCCTCCCCGCAGGAGGTTCACGTCACGCCCCGCCCGCTGGCCCTGCGCTGCGCTTTCCACCTCGCCCTGCCGCCCGCCCTCCACCTCGACCGCCTCGTGCTCCACGGCTCCTTCCCCGACATCACCAGCCCCGCCTCGGCGCCCGTGGTGGACGTGGAGGCCGGTGCCCTGGCCCGGCAGGTGGCGGCCTGCCGCATCGAGGCCCAGACGCTGAGGGTCGCGATGCCCCGCCTGGACCTGCGCCCGCCCCGTGCGCTGTGCGCGGTGGACCTGCTGCGTGAGCTGTGCTGCGTGGGCGCCACCTGGACAGAGTGAGCGCGCTGGAGGGGAGGGGGTGTTTGTGTGGGCAGGGAGCGTCAGGGTGTCCTCCGGCCAGCAGCTTCCATCTCGTACTGGTGGGCTCGAGGGGACAAACCCCACCTTTGCAACCCAGCAATCCAGCTGGCATGGTCACCCACACCCTCTTCAATGGCAACCACAGGCTGGACCTGCGAGAGCCGGACGGTGCTTGAGGCGGTGCGCTCCCTCCCACTAGCCACGGAAGTGATCTCGGAGCCCGCGCTCCAGTCCCTTCGGCCCCTGCTCCAGGCCTGCCCCTGCGCCAGCCTGTCATTCCATAGATCCGTGGATGGAGAGAGCCTACTGCGCCACCCGGGCTTCAGGGCGATGTCGGGGCGCACCCTGACCAGCCTGAGGGCGGTGGTGGCCTGCACCGATACGCTGAGCCGCTTCCCGGCGCTGGAGCGCCTGGTGCTGGAGGCGGGGGCCATCCAACGCTTCTACCCCTCCGTCCTGCACGGAGGACTGCGGAACCTGCGCTCCCTGTCCCTCGTCCGCTTCCCTGAGATGGAGCTGCAAGGCCTGGACCCAGTCCTGCTCCCCTCGCTCCGGGTGGGTGGATCGTGGGGGAACGGGGCTCCAGCCCGAACGACCCAGGCGTGGGGCCATGCAGTCCTGCACAACCGCGAGCGCACCCCGGCCCAGCACCCTCCTCCCCGCAGGAGGTTCACGTCACGCCCCGCCCGCTGGCCCTGCGCTGCGCTTTCCACCTCGCCCTGCCGCCCGCCCTCCACCTCGACCGCCTCGTGCTCCACGGCTCCTTCCCCGACATCACCAGCCCCGCCTCGGCGCCCGTGGTGGACGTGGAGGCCGGTGCCCTGGCCCGGCAGGTGGCGGCCTGCCGCATCGAGGCCCAGACGCTGAGGGTCGCGATGCCCCGCCTGGACCTGCGCCCGCCCCGTGCGCTGTGCGCGGTGGACCTGCTGCGTGAGCTGTGCTGCGTGGGCGCCACCTGGACAGAGTGAGCGCGCTGGAGGGGAGGGGGTGTTTGTGTGGGCAGGGAGCGTCAGGGTGTCCTCCGGCCAGCAGCTTCCATCTCGTACTGGTGGGCTCGAGGGGACAAACCCCACCTTTGCAACCCAGCAATCCAGCTGGCATGGTCACCCACACCCTCTTCAATGGCAACCACAGGCTGGACCTGCGACTGCTGGATCACAGGCTGTGGCTGGTCCCCCCCACCCCACCTGACGCCCTGGTCCCCGCGCCGGCAGTGGGCCTGCACCCGGAGGACCTCCTTGTGGAGGCGGCGCGGGTCCCCTGCCTCATGGCCACGCTGTCGTGGAAGCAGTCTGGCATCTGCCGGTACCCCGTGGTCGTCCTGTCCCGCTTCGACCCCAGCCCAGGGGACGACAGCGACGGGGCGCGCTGAGGCCGGCTCGGAGTCGGTGTGCCTGCAGGCGTGGCGGTCTGTCGCCAGGCCCAGGCTGTTGGCGGCGCCCCCCTCCCGCGGCACCACTCCTGAGCAGCTTCCGGAACAGGCGCAGCCGCCTGGCTGCCTCTTCCACCCCCCCCCCCTCCAATTGCGCCCCGGCACCCGGTCTGCCCCGGTGGTGCTGCAAGGCGGTCACTTGCATGTCGTGGGGTTGGGTCTGCCGCGCCGCGGCGTGCAGGGCAGGGCGGGCTGCGGCATCGAGCCGGGTGCACGGGTGTGCAGTCACAAGTCAGGCATGCACGCTGCATGCCAAGGGGCGGGCGCAGGCTCGGCGCGGATTCCAGGGGGCCCTCAGCCCGCCGTCGCACCGGCGAGGACCATGCGGTGGATGGAGTCCCGCACAAACTCCTTGATGCGAGCGTCAATCTTCTCCCGGTCGATGGCCTTGAAGAGGCCCGTCTCCTGCCGCTCCGCGTACGCCTCCTCCTCCTTCTTCCTTACCTGGTCTGTCAGCTTGTCATGCAGCTGCAAGGAGTTTGGATGCGGGATGTTTGAGGACCAAGCTGCAAGAGGCGGCGGGGCAGGTCGCAGGGTGGGGTCGATGCATGGCATCAGACGGTCCCCTCCACCAGCGGCACACGCCCTCGAGTGCCACGGCGGAAACTCTACTCTCGGAAGTGCACCATCAGTGTACTGCATCAACACACACACACACACCCCGCTCTCCTCACCCACACGACGCACCTTGGCAGCTGCCTGCAGGGACAGGCGGTTGGGGTGGCCCGGCTGGAGGTACTTGCCCAGGCGGCACGCCACCACGCCCGACACGTACTCGCCAAAGTCCGCGTCCGGCTCGTCCCAGGTCGACGTGTCCCGCTGCGGCATGCCCGCCGAGAAGAACTCGGGCCCGGGCAGCGCCGTGGGCACGCGAGCGGCGGGGGAGCTTCGCCGCCCCGGCTCCGCCACGGCGGCGTCCCACCTGCTGCGTTTGCGGGCGCCCTGCCCGCCTGCCCCGTTCCGCGCGCCGGCCTCGGCCAGCGCGGGCGTGCTCAGCGACCGCGGCGGGTGGCTCGGGGGCAAAGGCGGCGGCGGCGGCGGCGGCGGCGGCGGCGGGGTCGTCCCCTCGCGCCGCAGCATGCGGCGCAAGATCCCACGCCGCCCGCTCCCTCTGGGCCGCAGGGTGCTGCTGCTGGCCCAGATCTCCGCGTGCGAGGCCCTGTCCAGCAGCGTCCGCTCGGGGCTCCGGCCGTGCACACTGGCCGGCGTCATGACCCCTGGGCCCCGCGAGCGGCGAGCCGCGCGCCCAGTCCCCCGCCGACATGGAGCGCCGCGGCGGCGCCCCCGCCGGCGACCCCCACGAGGCCGAGGGCGAGGCGTGGCCCGGGAGCGGGGCGTGCGTCGTCGGCAGGTACCTGGGCGCGTGGCGCGGCCAGTGCTGCTGCGAAGTCGCCGGCGGCGAGGGGTGCGCGCCGACGGCGGGCGGCCAGGGTCCAGAGGCTGTTCTGGCGGCCCCCGGCGCGGCGCCGTACGCGGTCAGGCTGCCGCTGGCGGCGGGGGAGAGCGCCGCCGACGCGCCGGGGCCGATCGCGCCAGGCCCGCGCGCGCGGCGCATCCCCCCACCTTCCCCTCCCCCGCCCCGCGGCAGCAGCTTGTCCAGCAGGGCCAGCGCGGCGCCGCGCACGTCGTAGGCCGCGTGCGCGGTCAGCGCGCGCAGCACGTCGGCGAAGGAGCCGTGCGCGGAGCGCGTGGCGTGCAGGTCTTCCGCGCTCAGCGGCAGCGCGTCCGCCGCGCGCAGGGCCTTGGCGGTCAGCGCCGCGGCCGCCGCGCCGCGCGCGCCCAGGCCGGGCCCGCCGTGGCCCAGCACGCCCAGCAGCTGGCGCAGCGCGCCGCAGCGCACCAGCTCGCGCCGCACGGCGGGCGCGCCGCTGCGCAGCACCACTTCCAACAGGAGGGACAGGTCGGCCAGGCGCGCGCGCTGGCGCAGCGTCAGCGGCGTGTCGCCCGGAGGCGGCGGGCGCGCGTCGGCGCGGTCGCGGCGCCGGCGCGCTTCGCCGCCGCCGCCCCACCCGCCCACGGGCCGCGCGTCCAGGGCCAGGTCGCAGAGGTTGAACAGGCGCAGCAGGCGCAGCACGCTGCCGGGCCCGGCATCGCGCAGGCGGCCCGAGGCCGGGCTCACCAACTCATC